AGTATTGTGTGTATTAATATGTGTACTGTATGTCTATGTGTAGTATTGTTTGTATTTATATATATACTGTATGTCTATATGTAGTATTGTGTGTATTAATATGTGTACTGTATGTCTATGTGTAGTATTGCTTGTATTTATATATGTATTGTATGTCTATGTGTAGTATTGTGTGTATTTATATATGTACTATATGTCTATGTGTAGTATTGCTTGTATTTATATATGTATTGTATGTCTATGTGTAGTATTGTGTGTATTTATATGTGTACTGTATGTCTATGTGTAGTATTGTTTGTATTTATATGTGTACTGTATGTCTATGTGTAGTAGGAGTGTATTTATACATGTTCTGCATGTAGTATCAGAGCAGCAATGCAGTACTTTTGAGTACGTTCTTGTTTTTTTTTTAACAGTCAAACTAAATGATCCACTGAGTGTGGTGGTCAGGTTTTGTTTTTGGTCCATTGTGTTTTAGGATTAGGTTTATATTTGCCATCATTCTCCTGGCCTCAGTTCTCTGCTCCTCAGTGTTTGTCCGTCATCCTGCCACGCCCACTTCACCTGTTAGTTTCAGCTTATCACCTATTTATCTCTGTCACTATGTATTCTGTGTCCTTAAGTGTCCTTATTGTCTCATCACTTCTGCTTTTTCTGCTGGTCCTCAAGTGTTTGCTGCCTCAACAGCCTTTTTTTTTTAATAATGAATCAGTTTTCACAGCCTTCATGTTTGTCAGCAACTCTGACTTCCAAACTCCACTAATCCTGACACAAAATTTTATTTTATTTTCTGGGATTTCTTCTCCTGAGTTATATGTTGCAGTAGGTGTTTCACTGACAGTGTGATGAAGTCACGTGACCTGGATGACATAAACTGCATTTTAAACATTTACAGGATGCCACATGCAGGAGCTGTCATTAATACACAGGGTGGGTGTGCAGATCATTCCCGTTAACTAAAGTTTTTCTGCAAAAAAACTTTTTTCCCCACAGCTTACTGCCAGCATGGAAACTCAAGAGACCTTTGATAAGATGCCAAGATGCTCAAACTGCAGCATCCCTGTCTGAGCTCAGCCTCCAGCAACACAACCATCAGTGAGACGGAGAAACCAGCAGGAGGAGATGAAGAAAATATGACAAATATGTCAAACACCTGAAAATATTTCACAAAGCAAAGCTCATCAAGTCATGTCTCTTTATTTATGTAAAATTCCAAGCTAATATGCAACTAGAAGCACATTTGTTTGTATATATATTTGTATATAATTGTATTATCACTATTGTACTACATAGTTTACTCTCTGCAAATAACCTACAATACTATGAATAATTCTACTGTAAGGGTTTTCATGCAGACAGATAAAAAATAAATAAATTATTTTTCTGAGAGAAGATTCAAAATATGTCAAAACACAACAGAAAAACTTCAACTCATACTAAAAATGTGCTTTTCTCAGTTCAGTAACCACAGTGGGCTGAAATGTGTTCAACCTCTTTGGTATATTCATTTCTTTATTTACTCACAACCTGTACTTTTTATTGAATTCAATTTTGTAGTTACACAAAAAACTACAAAATGATTAATTTCCCTGGGAAAATCATTGTGAAAAGTGGTGAGTGGTTATGTTATGTATTCTCTTATGCCAGCTTATCCATGCTAGTTGCTAGCCTCTTCAATGCTAACACAAATGAATAGTCTCCTTCCGTTAGCCAATTCCGGCCTCTCAGTTACCAGGACCAGCTGCTCAGTTACCGGTGCCAGCCTACCATTAATCAGATCAACACTTGGTTTAGGAATAGATATAGCCTCCTGCTACAAGGATGTAGCAACACCGGTTGCACAATTGGCGTAATTTGCAGTAGGGTAAGCATTGTTTTGACCCCCACAACGTTTTTATCCATTCAATATAACCCCTCTTCCCCAAAAAACATAATTTGCTGTAACACGGACCTGATTTCAATATTTACAATGTCATATATGCATTTAAGCTTAATGTCTGAAAATAACACGCAGGTTTTTAGTCTGCTCTTGTTAAATTTTGGCTGTATTTGTTGAATCGTGTTGTAAATTCTTTACTAGCCCAATTGCAGTGCACCAGGAGGTAAATACGGTATATAAGCTCAGAAAATTGTGAAATTTAGGTATGTCGCATAACACATCCTAAAAATGTAAAACATTTGTTACCGATGGAAAAAAAATTGTGTGTGTGTGTG